TAACTTTACTATTTTCATCTTTTTTGAGCCCTATGGTCCCAGTATCCACTCCTGTATAATCAGGAGTAATTTTATTTTGTAACAGATTTATTTCCCTTCTTCTAGTTGTTAATAAGTAGGATCTTTTCAGAATTTAGACTGTTAAGAGACATGTCTGAGAAATTATCCCTGGAACTATATGAAGTGTAAAGACCTTTTTTTTTTTTTTTTTTTTTTAATTCCCTTCCAGAAAGAGAACGTTTTGTGAGTAGAGAAGGATAAACTGATTTCTTTCTTTAGTGTTAAGTAGGTCAGTAGGAGGAGTGAAGAAAATTTCTTGTCATGGTTTTGCCAGTGAACTTTTAGCATGTGTTTAAAGGATTTTATACTGGTTACAGTGCCAAGGCAGCTAAGTAGAAATAAATAGTGCTTCTAGAAAATGATCAGCCTGATGGTACACAGTCTGAACTAGGAAATGACTGTCCCTCCCACCCAGTATGGTAAGATGATGGTAGATCTGAATCTTTTTCTAGGATGAGGGGTGGGGCAGTCATTGGCCAGTGGGTGTGGAGAATTCTGAAACCAGCCACTTTATATTAACTGCATGTTTTTTTTTTGAAACAGGCTTTCTGTCTGTAACCCAGGCTGTTCTTGAACTCATGATCTTCCTACCTCAGCCTCTTGGGTGCTGGAATGACAGGTGTATACCAACACACCCTGCTACCTACATACCTTATTCCCAATTCCAGCCTCTTAGGAATTATGTAGCACAGGTTGGCTGGGATTTGGCTGTTCCCACTTTCCTGTATGACAAGTTAAAATCCTCTGTTTGCTAGCTTCCAAAATTTTATAGTTGCTCTTACAGGATTATCCTTTCTAAAAATTCTTTTTTTTTTTTTTTTTTTTTTTATGGTACTAGGGCTTGAAGTCAGGGCCTACACCTTCAGCCCCTCCATCAGCTTTGTGTGTGTGTGTGTGTGTGTGTGTGTGTGTGTGTGTGTGTGTGTGTGAGATGGGTGTTTTGGGTCTCAAGAACTGTTTGCCTGGGCTGGCTTCAAACCGCAGTCCTCCTGATCTCTGCCTCCTGAGTCACTAGGATTATAGGCATGAGCCTCAGGTGCCTGTCTGAAAATTCTCTTTGTTTGATGACTGCTTACATAAAACACCAAGAGCACAATACATAAAGACATAAAAGAAAAAAATCAACAAGTTGAAATTCATTAAAATTTGAAATATCTATGCAAAAGGCACTGTTAAGAGAATGAAAAGACAAGCCAAAGACTAGGAAAATCTTTGGAAAATACATTTCAGATAAAGGTCTGGAATCCAAAATACACAAAGAATTCTCATAACTCAATTATAAGAAAACAACCCAATTAAAAATGAGTAACATCTAGCCAGGTATGGTGACACACGCCTGTAGTCCCAGGTACTCAGGAGACTGAAAGTAGTGGGATCACAAGTTCCAGGCCAGTCTAGGCAAACATAGTGAGACTCATCTCAAAAAAAAAAAAAAAAAATCAGTGTTTTGAAGAGATATCTGCACGCTCATGTTTATTATAGCACTATTCACAGTAACCAAGTTAGGCACATGCACAGTTGGCTCATGCCTATAATCCCAGCTCCCCAGGAGGCACATATCAGGAGGATCTTGGTTCTAGGCCAGCCCAGCAAGAATGGGGGCAGTTAGCAAAACTTCATCTCTACAAATAAGGTGGGCAACACAGGAGGCCTAGGTAGGGTGATTGTGGTCTAAGGCTGGCCTGGGCAAAATGCCAGATCCTAGCCTAAAAATAACTAAAGCAAGCCAGGAACTACGGGCTCACACCTGTAATCCTAGCAACTCAGGAGGCAGAGCTCAGGAGGATAGTGGTTCAAAGCCAGTCCAGGCAAATAGTTCAAGAGACCCTATCTTGAAAACACCCATAAGAAAAAAGGGACTGGTAGAGTGTCTCAAGATGTAGGCCCTGAATTCAAGCCCTGGTACTATAATAAATAAATAAATAAATAAATAAAGCAAAAAGGGCTGGGATTATAGCTTACGTGGTAGAGTGCCTGCCTAGCAAGCATGAGGCCCTGAGTATAAACCCCAGTACTACCAGAATAAATAGATAAGTAACCAAGTTAAGGATTTAACATAAGTGCCAATAAATTAATGGATAAAGAAGATGTGCTACATCTACACAACTGAATACTATTCGGTTTTAAGAGAGAAGAAAATTCTGTCATTTGTAACAACTTGGATGTATCTGGACAACATTATATTAAATGAGCCAGGCACAGAAATACAAATTGCATGATCTCATTTGTGGAATCTTAAAAAAATTGATCTCATAGAAGTAGAGTAGAATAATGCTTACCAGAGGCTGGAGAGGGTGGGAAGAAGAGGGGAAATGGAGAGGTTGCTCAAAAGGTCACAAAGTTACAGTTGGAAAGGGGGAGTAAGCTATAGTGTTCTGTTACACAGTAGGGTGAATGTAGTCAATAAGCGTATTGCACAGATTTAAATAAGAGGATTTTTTAATGCTTTCCACAAAGAAATGATAAATGTTCAGGGTGATTAGATATACTGTTTATCCTGATTGGATCATTGCACAGCATATATTGTATCAAAACATCACATTGTGCCCTATAAATTTGTATGGTTATTATGTGTCAATTAAAAATCAATTTAAAAAATTAAAAGATAATCCTCTTTAATTGTTGTTTTTAGTGGGATGTCAGGAATGAGAAGAATAGGTGTATGTGCTCAATTTTCATCTTACTCAAGAAGTTGTAGAAATGCTTTTCTTTTTAAGCCTAGTATAAGTAATAAGCCAGACATGGTGGCCCAATACTAGGAAGGCTGAGGCTGGAGGATCAAGAGTTCAAGGCAAGTTTGAGCTAGATAGGAAAAAAAAGAGATTAGTATAGGTAATAAAAAAAAAACCAAAATGGCTTGCTTTTGCTTTATAATAAAACATGTTATATGGTTATAGCAGACATTATAATCATATAATGATCTAGTAGTGTATTTTATGAATGATTACTTGTCAGTATATAAATTCACCCAAAAATAAATTCAGCTACTTTAATTACATTTTGAGCAATTTCTTAAAATATTACATCATGAAAAGGATTAAAACAGATAACTCTACCCTTCAGTGCAGTGTTTTATTATTATATGGTATAATGAATGCTTTTAGACTTTCCTTTAGCAAATGTATAACTCTTCTTTCTTAAGAGAGTATAATCAATTTTGAATCCAACAAATGCTTTCAGAACTGTGGGAGCAACAATTGGTAGAGTGAAAAATAAGATTAAAAGAATAAATAAGCTGGGCACTGGTGGCTCACGCCTGTAATCCTAGCTACTCAGGAGGTAGAGATCAGGAGGATTGTGGTTCGAAGCCAGCCCAGGCAAATAGTTCTGGAGACCCTATCTCAGAAAAACCCAAAACAAAAAAGGTCTGGTAGACTGGTTCAAGTTGTAGGCCCTGAGTTCAAGGCACAGTACAACAACAACAAAAAAAAATGCTGGCAGAGAGGCTCAAGTGGTAGAGTGCCTGCCTAGTAAGCACGAGGCCCTGCCATTTCCACCTCTTTTGTAGTTCATCTCACATCCCATCATAAAATTACTTTTTAATTAATTTATTCTTAAAGTCTTAATCATGGTAAAATTACATAACATAAAATTTACCATCTTAACCAATTTTAAGCATACAGGTCAATGGTGTTAAGTACATTCTTGTTAATGTACAGCCACTCTCCAGAACTTTCTCATTTTGCAAATCAAAAACTCTGCATTCACTAAACAATAGCTCCTCATTCCTCATTCCCCCCTTTACCCAGCTCCTGGCAACTACCACTCTACTTTGTGTTTCTGAGTTTGACTACTGTAGATACCTCATATAAGTGGACTCATAATATTTGTCCTTTTGTAACTGACTTATCTTACTTAGCATAAAATCATCCATGTTGTAGCAAGGAGAATGAACATTTGCTATATAACTTACAATATTTGGAATTGTAAAGGGTTTTAAAATGTGGCAAACGAGAACTCAAGGTTTAAAGTAGAAGTGCTAGTGCATTAAATTGCTTATGTGTGACAGGTGGTACAGAATCTGATAACAGTGCTTCTCGGCAGCAAAAACCATCTTTGGAAAATGAAGAGCTCTTCTTAGTTACTAGCAGTTTGTCAATGTCTAGTCTACCAGGCGAGACATTCCTAATAGCTTTTTCTTTTTCCATTTTGATGATAAATGTGTTCACTGTTAGAATATGGCAGTGTATGTTTGTCATTTATCTATTTGACTCATCTTGGTTAAGAACTTTGTTCAAAATACATAACAGTACCCAAAAAAGTTACTTTATAAGGAATTTGTTTGATATACATTTAAAAAATGTTTAGGTAATTTCTATTTGTGAAATATAGGTGGTTCTTAGTTGAGCATTAAGTAATACAGAACAGTCATAATGTTGACGGCCTCTTAACTGTTTTTCTACAAGGACTCAATAGATGATTCAATCATGTTTTGTTACCCAGATGCTAAAACACAATTCTAGATTTTCATAAAAAATAATATTCTTCTGTTAATTTCCCTTTTCTTTCACATAGTGTGAATTTCAGCTCATTGTGTCAATAGATTTTTTATAACATACTATAGTTATTTACATATATCACTTCCATATTTACAGTGTGCCTATGAATTTCAGCAAGCATGCTTTACATTTCTTCTTGACTTAATGGAAATTAAGGCAAAGTGAAGTGTTCTACTATAGAATATGCCATAGGCTCCCTTGTCTTAAGTCCTTATGTTAACACAGCATAGTAGCATATCTAGCAGTTGGTCTTTCTGATAATTGTCTTTCCATGTGTGATTTTCTCTGGAATTGGACTCAAGGAAATTAAGATGAGTGACTCTATTTGAGGAATGCAAAACTAAATTGGATTTGCAGTTGTATGTGCTGGAACTCTGGTAGGTGTGATAACTTTGGCCTAGCTCACTTTTTTTTTTTTTTCTTTCTTTTTCCCCCACACAGATTGATAGAGCTACATTCCCCTGATAGCCGGAACACATTGATCCTACGCTGCAAGGACACAGCCACAGCACACTCCTGGTTCGTAGCTATCCACACCAACATAATGGCTCTCCTCCCACAGGTGCTGGCTGAACTCAATGCCATGCTTGGTGCAACCAGTACAGTGGGAGGCAGCAAGGAAGTCAAGCACATTGCCTGGCTGGCAGAACAGGTAGGCTGGCAGGCAGGGCAGGGTTTCACTGGTTCCTATTCAGAGCCAGAATGGTTTCCCCCATTGCATGTATTTAATCTCATATATATATATATATATATATATATATATATATAAAATAGCTCATATAAAATTCAGCTAGAAAAAATAAAATTCAGCTAGATCCCGAATATCTACCTTGCAAATCTTTTGTTAGTCTTTTGTTTCTGATCCCTTTTTCCTTTCTATTGTTTAGTTACTTGTTGCTAATTATCATCTCTACCAAAAGAATTAATTGTCATGGTAATAGCCATCACAGTACAACTGAAAAATGTTCTTACTACCATCTCTGTCCCTAGTGACATAGGGTAAATTTCATGATTTTAGACTAGGGTCAGTGAACTTTTTCTGCAAAGGACCAGATAATGCACAATTACATGCTTGACTCTGCAGTCATAGCCAATATGAAAATAAATGGGTGTGACTGTTTCAGTAAAACTTTATTTAGAAAAACAGATGGTGGCCCAGAGGTCATAGTTTTTCCACCCTTCTTCTAGTCTGTTGGCAGACTTTCCCGGGGCTCTAGTTTACTCCCTTGCACTGGAACAATTTAAAATATACAAAATATTTTACAAGCCAGTTGCAAAACTCAATTTTCTTTCATAACAAAAATGAAAAGAAGAGGAAAAAAGAAAGCCTAAAAGGGTATTGAGTGAGGGGAAAAGAACTGAAAAATGAAATTTATTTTAGATTCCAGGGTTAACAAAGGGAGAGTAAAAGTTCCTATGTGACATCAAATTACGTCCTTCAATATCAGCTGGGCCAGAAGGAATTATAAAAGAAGACTGGACTTAGGGGTTTCAAAGATGAGTGTAAGTGCTAGCTATTTCTCACTGGCTTTAAATCTTTTTTTTAAACTTCTTTCATCTCTTTGAATCCTACTTCTCTTGGGTGTGTAAAGGGGTGAGGAATGGATTAAATCATTGGTTCCCAAGTATGTCATAGTCAATGCAGAGACATTTCTGTTTTTTTCTGTTCTTTCGTTTTTATTTTGTATCAAAAACACTCATCCTTTACCCCAGGAGAGTTCTGATTTTTTTTTTTTTTTTGAGGTTGATTTTGTTTAATTTGAGAGACATTGTCCCCAACAAAGTTCTGACTTTGTAGATCTGTGATTGGGCTTGGCAATCTTATTTGATTTTTTTTTCTTTTATTATTCATATGTGCATACAAGCTTGGTTCATTTCTCCCCCCTGCCCCCACCCCCTCCCTTACCACCCACTCCGCCCCCTCCCTCTCCCCCCACCCCCTCAATACCCAGCAGAAACTATTTTGCCCTTATTTCTAATTTTGTTGTAGAGAGAGTATAAGCAATAATAGGAAGGAACAAGGGTTTTTGCTGGTTGAGATAAGGATAGCTATACAGGGCATTGACTCACATTGATTTCCTGTGCGTGGGTGTTACCTTCTAGGTTAATTCTTTTTGATCTAACCTTTTCTCTAGTTCCTGGTCCCCTTTTCCTATTGGCCTCAGTTGCTTTTAAGGTATCTGATTTAGTTTCTCTGCGTTAAGGGCAACAAATGCTAGCTAATTTTTTAGGTGTCTTACCTATCCTCACCCCTCCCTTGTGTGCTCTCGCTTTTATCATGTGCTCATAGTCCAATCCCCTTGTTGTGTTTGCCCTTGATCTAATGTCCACATATGAGGGAGAACATACGATTTTTGGTCTTTTGGGCCAGGCTAACCTCACTCAGAATGATGTTCTCCAATTCCATCCATTTACCAGCGAATGATAACATTTCGTTCTTCTTCATGGCTGCATAAAATTCCATTGTGTATAGATACCACATTTTCTTAATCCATTCGTCAGTGGTGGGGCATCTTGGCTGTTTCCATAACTTGGCTATTGTGAATAGTCTGGCAATCTTATTTGATAGTTCTGTAGAAATTGTGTCTTTGGGCCAATTTTGGGTGCTAATAATCTTTTTTTTTTCCCTCCTTTTTCTTACACCTGAAATTTTATGAACATTTCAAATAAAATTGTAAGAAGTAAAAACACATAGTAGTGATCACTTCTATGAAGTGTAATTAGAATAAGCAAAGAAACTAGTGAAATCCTGGTATAAATACTTATGACTTTGAAAATTTTAACATTTTAGTTATGTGTATCATGTCTCTATATTATTTTTATGTGCTAGTTAGAAAACTGGATTGAGTAGTCATTGTTCTGTGCTTTTAGCCATGTTAAAAAAACCTTTGTGATTCATTTTTTTGCCAGGCACCAATGGCTCACACCTGTAATCCTAGCTACTCAGGAGGCAAAGATCAGGAGAATTGTGGTTCAAAGCCAGCCCAGGCAAATAGTTCGAGAGACCCTATGTCGATAAAACCCATCACAAAAAGGGGCTTCACACAATTTCTAAAGATCAGAAATCTGATAGAGGCTTAGCTGGGTTGTTCTAGCTCAGGATATCTCAAGACAGTATGGTCAAGCTAGGCACCGATGGCTCACGCCTATAATCCTAACTACCTAGGAGGCAGAGATCAGAGGGATCGCTCTTTGGAGCCAGCCCAGGCAAATAGTTCATGAGACCCTATCTCAAAAAGAACCCATCACAAAAAAGGGCTGGCATAATGTCTCAAGTGGTAAAAGTACCTGCCTATCAAGTATGAGGCCCTGAGTTTAAACCCCAATGCCACCAAAAAAATAAATAAATAAGGTATAGTCAAACCATCAACCAGAATGGCATTCATCTGCAGGCTTGACTAGGGGTAGCAAATCCACTTCCCAAATGATTCATGGAGACTTGTGTTTTTTCCTAGCTGAGAAGTCCTCAGTTCTTTATCATGTGGGCCTTTCCATAGGGTTGTCTGAGGATCCTTGAGTCATGGCTACTGTTTTTCTCCATAGCAAGTAATCTGAGAGAGAGAACAAGTACACATAGTGCCTTTTATGATGTCTTATAAGTCACATTGTTGGACTGGGGGTGTAATTGAATGGGAACTCTTGCCCAGCATGAGTTCCATCCCTAACACTTCTTTCTTTTCATTATAAATGAGTCACTAAGAACCAGACATGGTGGTGTGTGCCTGTAATCCCAGCAGTTGGAAGGCTGAGACAGGTTTACAAGTGGAGGCCAGCCTGTCTGAAGCCTCCCCCCATACCTAAAAAAGAAAAAGAAGTCAGTAAGACAGGCATGCTGATGCAGACCTGTTATTCTAGCACTCAGTAGGCTAAGGCAGGAGGACTACAAAAATCAAAAGTATTTTAGAAACCAGCCAAATAAGATGATGCATATCTATAACCCCATAACTCAGGAGTTGGAGACAGATTTGTAAGTTCAAGGCTTCATCGCAAGTTCAAGCTCAGTGGTAGAGTCTTGCATGGCATGCACAAGGCCCTGGGTTCAATTCCCAAAAAGAGTCACCTACACCCAGGCTACGCTCTAGTAGAGAGAATTCAGGCTCTACCACTTTTTTTTGTGATGCTAAGGATACATCTCAGTGCTTCAATGCAGGCTGGCAAGTAACTCTATCACTAAGGTCCATCCCCAACACAAGGCTCCACCTCTTTTAAAGAAAAATAGAGAATTTATGGGCATATTTTAAAGCTACCACAGAGGATATGTACATTTCTAATTTTGATAAATATTGCCAAGTTGCCTTCAATTGAGACTATAGTAATTGAGATTCTCAACAGCAATACTTGAGAGTTGCTGGATTTTTTTAAGTGAACTTCATTGGATTTATGCTAGAAAGGAAAAAAATAAAAGCCACCAATTCATCACAATCTCCTTTTTATGAACTGTACGGTCACTCAGTTGGGACCTCATGATAGACAGGAACACATTTCTGCCCAAATCCTTATTGCCTCCAAGAACTTAGTCCAGTGGTTTTTGCATAATAGATACCCAATAATTTTGCTTTGTCAAGAGCCAGTGGCTCATACCTGTAATCCTAGCTACTTCGGAGACCGAGATTAGGAGGATTTCATTTCCACACCAGCCAGGACAAAAGATTGCAGGACCCCAGCTCAACAGGGGAAAAAATGCAGAGTATGGCACCGTGAATCTGTCATTCCAGCTATGGCAGGAAGCTTGAAATAGGAGGATCATGGCCCAGGCCAGCCTGAGCAAAAAGCAAGACCCTATCTTCAAAATAACCAGAGCAAAAAGGGCTGGAGTGATGGCTTAAGTAGAACTCCTGCTTAGCAAGTACAAAGCCCTGAATTAAAACTCCAGTCCTGCCGGGCACCAGTGGCTCATGCCTGTAATCCTAGCTACTCAGGAGGCAGAGATCAGGAGGATCGTGGTTCAAAGCCAACCATGGGCAAATAATTCGTGAGACCCTATCTCAAAAAACCATCACAAAAAAGGGCTAGTAGAGTGGCTCAAACAGTAAGAACACCTGCCTAGCAAGAGTGAATTCAAACCACAGAGCTGCCAAAAAATAATAATTAATAAATAAGTTAAAGAAAATATGAAAAAAATATTGTGAGGAATACAAGTTTAGAGTTGGGAAATAATGTTAAGTAGAAAGGTTTTAAACACCTTAAATATATAGTATCATTGAGCTAATCCAAAGAACTGTTTCTAAAATACTTTTTTTTTTTTGACGCAGGATCTCACTAGGTAGCCCAGACTTGCCTTGAATTTGCCATCCTTCTGTCCCCTCCCCAATTCTGGAATTAGAGGTGTGCACCCTCACACACAGCTTGTTTCTAAAGCACTTGTTTTTTTTTTGTTTTTTTGTTTTTGGTGGGACTGGAATTTGAACTCTAGGCTTTGTACTTGCAAAGCAGGAACTCTACCACTTGAACTATACTTCCAGTCCATTTTGCTCTGGTTATTTTGGAGATGAAAATTTTGAACTATTTGCCCGGGCTGGCCTCAAATCACTACTCCCAATCTCTACCCCACCCCACCCCTAGTAGCTAGTAACCACCACAGCTTGTGGTTTTGTTTGATACAGGGTCTCACTATGTAGCCCAGTCTGGCTTTCTGAGTTTAAGAATTACAGG